TGAAAGTCATAGCCGGGGCTTGAACCGTCAATCCTTCGATTTCAGGGCAAACTCCTACATCCAACACCGCTGTGCAATGCAATGTTTTATAAATGAAACAGCTGGATATAGTTGGACAATTGAACACAAAATGTGCTTAATCGGTTAAATCAAATTTTTAAACTTAGCAGGTCAATTTATATTGGGATTTTTTTCTTGAATTCAAAGATACTTAATTTTGAAATATTTCTGGGATTTAATTAGGTTTATTTTTTTATTACATTATTATCTTAACTTTTTTTTCCATAAAGACAGCAAGGACATAGCTACAATAAAGGCATAGAAAGTCATAGTTTTCAATTTATATTAAAATATAAAGATTTGTAAACAGTTGTTAGACGTAAACTATATTTTTACAGCTCGCAAATGTGGTTTGTTTTGTTTTCTTGTTTTTTTTTTTAAAATGTTCTTGTTTTTTGGAGTTTATTTTCCATCATTCTACAGATTTTATGCAAAATGAATAGAAAAAAAAAATGTAAATGTAGTTCAAATAGTGCTTTGTAGAAGGCTAACACATAGTACCAAAATATTTAAAAAGGTTACGCTATAAAACATCTTAAGAGCAGGCATCCCTTTATAGGATGATAATAGTGTTAAAAGGACTTGCCATATCAGTGTCAGACACTGGTCCAAAACTGGTCACGTAGACATTTGTCTTTACCTCTGTCACTCGGTCTGGAGAAAGAAAAATACAAAACAAATAATTGTCAGAAAACAATTGTGTTTATTATTAGTGGCTAGACAAGGTCCTAAAGACAACTGTTTGAAATTATAATACAAGGGAGGTATCATCTTCTGATGCTGTTTTAAACCTGCTGGATTACCAAAGAATAGAGTTGGTCTCAAATAGAGAAAAAATTCCTTGGAATCACGCATTTAAGGCGGCTGTAATTACATATGCTGAGTGTTACACAAATACAATTCATTCCAAAAATACTTTATTAATACTATTAATATTAAATTAATATATGTACGTAACTATAATTAAATACATAGGAAGGCAATCCTGAAACTTAGTAGTTCACATTAGACTTGAACATAAATTTTACAGTCAAACACAGAAAACAAGACTGTTGCCCACGTGCTTATGTGTAAAATTTCTCTGTAACCTTCCATCAAGCAAGATACATTTCCTATTCATTCATGTTTTTCTTTCTTCTGTATGCATGTTTAAAGAGCATCAATGCATAGATATTGCATCCCAGAGACTCTATTTAAGCCAAATGAGTCCAATCATTGTAAGTCTACTATGGACGTTTTGTTTCTCATCCTGTGATGCAGTTTGACTCATTTCCAACCTGGACGGCTTTTTCTCACTGAGAAAATCATTCAGATTTCAAATACACAGAAGTTTAGCTAATTACACTCACAGCAACTGGAAATCCAGTACATTCACCTGCTGTTAAATACAGACTTTAAGGGGCTATGATTGCTGACAGGAGCATAAAGGCATTTTCTAACAGTTTCACAGATCCTCCCATTGTAGAGCAAAGAAGGGTGAACAAAAGTGTGCTTCTACACCTCACAACATAATACAAAAATCTCCTCTCTGTCTAGGGGCTAACAGCAGAACACTGGGAACAACGTATCTCATCTGTATTACAAATGAGATTTTAGTATTAGAATGTCTGTGTAGTGAAATGTTTTTAGGGAAATATTTTCTGAGAATTAGAAGACTTACACTTATTCTTTTAAATGTAATGTTGCTGTTATTAAAGCAACACCAAGCATTCTCCAGTTCATTATTAACCCATTATTAACCCCTAAAATCAGTCCAAATTTGAAGAAAAAAAAATCATTTGAATCTAGAGAGATTACTACACCATAGATGGTAATTTATGTTTGCCATTAATATAATAGAAATAAATACACTTGGGCTTTAGCAACAACAGCGCATTGCTAAATGTTATTTATTAATCATTTATGTATTGAATTCCGTGTATCAACATAGCTCTCTTTCCTTTAATATTAGCTTTGCCTTTATCCACACTTATCTCGGGCAAGTGCACTCGGTTTTGCAGATTGTTTCCTGATACAATTTCATCCTTTTCTTGATCTTTATAGTATACTTTGTATAAACCTTTGTTAGATTTTAACAATTAAACAGGAGTGGGGTGAGGTTGAAATGCAACACAAGAGCTTGGTCTGGAAGGGCCTTTACTTCAACTGCTTCACAGCTGCAAGTCAAACCCTAATTCATTCCTACACATGAATGTTGTTTTATTCTATTCGACTCTATTCTATTCTTTTTTTTTTCGAAGGTTCAAGGTAACGTTATTAATACCCATAGGAACATTCATTTTTCAGCCTGAAAAGGGGCACTTAGAAAAGACAATAAATAAATAAGCCCTATTTAATATTCCTAAAATGACTATTCTGCAACCTTTATTCTATTCTTGTCAAAAATATTAATTCATAATGTATCCAGAAGCTCCTCTATAGCAACAAAAAAGTTGATTCTGCGAAGTATTACCTGGGTTGTATGTACAGTTTCTTGCGAAAGTATTTGACCCCCCCTTGAAGTTTTGTTTGTCACATTTCAGGCTTCAAATATAAAGATCTAAAATTGTAATTATTCGTAAACAATCTGACAGATCTGATCGATCTGACCGGAGCACCTTCTTCCACATGTTTGCTGTAATCTCCTAGGTGGCTTCTGGCAAACTTTAAACAAGACCTTTTATGGTTATCTTTAAGAAATTGCTTTCTTTCATAACGGCTGGATCTGTGCAGACTGATCGTTCTCCTATGGACAGAGACTCCGTCTCGGCTGCAGATCTCTGCAGTTCATCCAGAGTGACCATGGGCCTCTTGGCTGCATCTCTGTAGTGATGTTATGAGATGAGCCGAGGCTTCGAGGAGTGTGTCGAGTAATGGAGGGGTTGTTTCCCCGAAGAGGGACCAAAATTGATGATGTCCGCTGCCTCGCGACTGTGATATCATGAGACCTCTTCGGGAAGTGGTTCAGAAGGCGCAAGAATTTTGACAGGCATCTAAACAGCCTCAGTATTCAGAGTTGCTGTCAGCTGGATAAAATTTGGATAGATTCCGAGAATAGATTGGTGGCGTCATCTGTGAGTCACAGTTTCCACTCAAGAGGTTGATGGTTCAAGACCTGCCCTTGACTTTTGAAAGTTGCGATTATACTTAATTATTTTGCCTAATGAGACTAATTTGCATTGGTTTGCCCTAGTAAAAATATAGATCGGATAAAAACGCTGCCAATTTAGGTCAGTTTAGCCAAAAGATTGGTTGAACACAACTTCATACCCGATTAAAACCAAAAAATGTGGAAAAACTATAATGTTTGAATAAAAATTACTAACACCTTTTTAGGTTGCTTACCATTGCCCAATTTGCAAAAAAACACTTTCACTGTCTGCTTGAGTTAATTTAACTAAAATGGCTGAAAAGCTGTACACCTTAAATGATTGTTCTATGGAATTTTACACATAAAAAAACAACTTACAAAAGATTTTACTATACACACCAACCACTAACAATTTCAAAGAAACTTTAAAGGGAAAAAAACAAAAGAAAAACAATTGCAAAAAATCACAGATTTTAATACTAACTGTAGTTCTGCACTATACCAGTAGGTGGTTTACGAACTGTGGGGATCGTTAAAGCAATTTGGCCAAACGGTTCAATGCCTCATGAGGCCTTGTCTCACCATATCTACTGATCAGCCTTCTCTTTGTTTGAGCTGAAAGTTTAGAGGGATGGCTGGGTTTTCGTAGATTTACAGTGGTCTGATACTCCTTCCATTTAAATATTATCACTTGCACAATGCTCCATGTTTAAAGATGTTTAAAGCTTGGGGAATCTTTTTGTTTCCAAATCCAGCTTTAAAGTTCTCCCCAACAGTATCTCAGACCTGCCTGATGTGTTCCTTGTTCTTCATGATTCTCTCATTGCTTTAAACACACCTCTGAGACTATCACAGTGCAGGTGCGTTCATACGGAGACTTGATTACAACACAGGTGGATTCTATTCATCATCATCATCAGTCATTTAGGTCATCATTGGATCATTCAGAGATCCTCACTGAACGTCTGGAGAGAGTTTGCTGCACAGAAAGTAAAGCGGCTGATTAATTTTGCACGCCTCACTCTTTAGTTTTTGTTAAAAAAGTGTAGAATGGCAAATAAATTTAATTCCACTTCATGATTCTGTCTCAATTGTTGTTGATTCTTCAGAAGTAATTACAATTTATTATCTTTATGTCTGAAGCCTGAAATGTGGGAAAAGAACGAAAAATTTAATGTGGCTAAACTGTTTTGCAAGGCACTGTATATATTTGAGTGTGTAGTTGTATTTTTGGTAATGTGAGGATTATTTAAAAAAGCAAATTAAATTGAAACTAGTGATCCCCATCCCATAATAATTTCAGTTTCTGTCTCCACTGCTTTGGTTTGACATCTGTCTTTAAATTTTTTTGTTATTCATGCATCTATGACTTACCTCCAAGACCGGGTCGGAGTCTGTTATCATACCCATCCAGGAGACTGTCGAGGATCCTGGTGAATGTTGCAATGTCTTTGGAGTTCTGTGATGATTTAGAATCTGCTCTTGACCTAAGTAAGATAAAAAGCATGAAAATAAAGACAAACTGGACCTGTTCCTGTCCATGTTAACAAAGCCATAATACTGTAATGTAGGATGATGGAGGACACTGGTAATCTCCACCTACAAAATACTTTGTATTTTACACCTATTTTTTCATACTTACCAAAAGCATATAATAAAAAAGGTCTATTGTTGATAACATACAATTACCTCATATACAAATACAAAAGTCCATGGCTGGTAGATGAATTTTAACATCTTAAGGCCAAAGCAGTTTTTTCCATGCATTGTTTATTTCTTTTTTTCTTTTTGGGCTTATTTGAACCCAATTAGAATAAAAATGAGGCATCATATTTAAATGTAATGTACTTGCAGAAAAATTATGTCCTATGTCAAATTTTCATTGAACACGACTAGGTCAACTTTGGATCAAAGAGTCAAAAAAAAAATTATATATATATATACTGTATATATATTAGTGATCTCTTCTTAGGAAACCAGAGAGAGAAAGGGTTAAGGTGTAAACACAAAGCTTTCAAACACAAAAGGAAATATAAGGGGCAATTTTTAAGTGCATCTTATGAGATGGATATGTATTACTCTTGACTGGTATATTTGTAATCCTCTCTATACTTACATTTAGTGGTTTACTCATGAGAGCTCATAGCCCTTTTTTTCTTAATAAAAATCACTCTCCAACTGGGACTACTTTACTAGTAGATTTTGCGGGTTTTAAATAGCAGGTGCCACTGACCTTCTTATGCTGTGATTTTTTTATGTAGTTTGATTAAAAGAGAAGCAGAAATCAACTGAAATTAACCTTTAGATTAATAGACAAAATACTCAAGGGCTTTTTTAAAGTCCACAGCATAGATCACAGGAGGAAAAACTTGAAGAGACATCGGTTTTAATATTTATTTATATGATTTTTTATCATTTAGATAGTATCATTGAAAAAAATAACTAAATTTTAGAAACAGTGGTCAGTTTTAATGTTCAGCCCCAGATATAATGGTTTCTGGCTTTTATCAGGTCTTTAAAGACAGACATTTGGTTTAGAAATATGATCTTTGTTTACGCATTCATGTATGAACATGGACTTTATTTTATATTTGTGTGAAGAAATGCATCTATGACTTTACACAACGTAAAGCTTTTGATTAAACATTAATTTAAAAGCCAGAATGTCAAATGTCATTTTAATTGCTGAACGTGTTGAAGCAAGCACAAGCTGTAGCATTAGTTGCACGCTGTTTCAGGAGATGCAATGTGACAGATTGTGTCCTCTGTGACATTTCACCTGCTAAAAGACCAAAAAGCTTTATAAATATATTTATATTTCTGTCTATCTTTCTGACAATAGTTGAATAAACTTTTGGCTCTCAAAAAGGTATCGATGCCCTATTTGTTGGTACTCGCCAATACCGATACCACCATTTTAGTGCAGTATTGGGACCCTGCCCAATACTGGTATCGGTATCTGTGCAACACTATTATATAAATATATATTCCTCAACATATACATGTGATTTCCTGATCTCTGAAAGGACAAGTGAGAAGAGTGTCTTTCTTTCTTTATACTAGTTTTTCTAGTGGTTAAAGTTGATAAGGATGAGAAACATGCTGCCTCAACACATTTTAAATTACTTCTAATAAGGTGCATTCAGACCAAACGTGGCGTCAACGGTGATTTCCGCGAGCATTGTCGGAGTTAAGCTGTGTGAGGCTGACACCCCACCCATGTAAAAACCTTGGCAAATAGACCCAATGGTTAGTGCTTCTTTAGTGCAGGTTTGTGTAGTGCAATGCAAAATTATCATTGTAAAAAGGCAAACATTAAGTAAAATAAAGAGAATCTGTGCTACTTTTCTTTAAGAGGTATTAAACTTTTTTTTTTAGTTCTTCCAGAGGTCAACCGTCCCCCCATTATGCTCAGAATTGAATCAAAATTATCCACTTTTTTGGTGCTACTTGATTTGTGCAGATAAAACTGTCATTTGATAGAATCATTTTGGTGTATTTGTGTGCATATATGAGTAGTTCATTTTCTGGATCATACTTTTTATTTAAATGCAAACTTTGTAGTGACTTGCAAATGACCCTGAAAATGTCCACAGCCGAAACGCATTGGTGTCAGTAGAGTGTGTTACTGCACTTCAAGTGTTGCTGAAATTGACTGCATCAGACAGAGCATTAAGGTTTGAGGCGTTTCGTTTTACAGCAGTGCTTCTTTACCTTGATGACCTCTCAAACCTGATTGTAACTGTTCAAACTGATTGTACAGATTAATTGCTCACACGAAATAATTAGCAGTAATTTTAAAATGGAATTTATATAAGAAGGTTAAATATAGCTGTGTAATTAGCAGGAGACTCTGAATCAAAGGCAGGTTATTAAGAAACCTTAAAAGCCTGTGGTACATATCTATCATCAATGTTAAACTGCCAGATCTAATTGGAGTTTTTATCAATCAAACCCACTTATCCTTTCCTCCACCCCCTTCTCCTTTTAAAATGTCAAGATGAAATTAGGTTTAACTGAATAAAAACAGGCAAACGTAGATCTGAATCCCTTTTTTTTATTTTGTACCCACCTTACTTACCACTTTTACACGGTGGAAGGAGGTCCTGCCATTTATAAACTGAAAAACTCATCCTGCGAACACATTTCTAACTGTCCGTGCTACTTCCTCAGACCATATTCTGAATCTATTTTTAGTTAAGTTAGTTAGTTAAGTATTACTGGGTCTTCGAAGGGACGTTTAGTGATCGCTCAGTAACAACACTTGAAAGAATATCAGCAATTTTACTTAAAATAATGAGAGAACTCAGAAAATAGATATTTGCTATTCCTTATGTTGTCCTTTTGAATTAAAATAGTAACATATATGCATAATTTTGAAAGAGGAAGACATAATAATAATAATAATAATAATAATAATAATAATAATAATAATAATAATAATAAGAACAATAATAAAATAATATTCTTTATGTTTTTTTGCACGAATTATGCAAATGTTTTAGAAAAGAGTTCTTCCAGACAAAGAGGCTGTCCGAAATCTACCAAAAGCCTTTTTTTAATCCACTTTAACAATAATATATTCGTATAT